CATGGTCCACAGGTGAAACATAAGGAGACTTCACACAGGAACACAATAAAAATGTATGTATGCAATACCTGTTTCAATCTTCATTTTTTCAAGAAATGCAATTGTACTTTGAAGTGTGACTTATAATGACCTGTTGCCCTTATACAAAACGAACTGTACAGCAAAACTTAACTTTGCAAGTCAGACACGAATGAACATTCAAATCAGACAGCTCGCAGGCAAAACAGTCATGTTCACCCCATCATCCGAACTTCTATTATTCCAAACAACTTGCTTTGCTTTTTCTTTTTTTAAATTCTTTACCGAAATTGTTCTAAAAATGTGTAAACACCCTCTGTATAAGGAGTTCTGAAGTTTCTGACATACTTACTTCGAGATAAAATAAAATTATACCCAGAAATTTCAAAATATTCAGCAAAGGCCTTAATAAAATACATACTCAATTCTTCTTCTAATTACAGCAGGATACAATAAAATTAAATACTTTTTATCACATGAATGAAATTAATTTCAACCAAATACAAATTTTAAATTACAAAAGTACTATGAAATCACAAAAAGAAGCATATTTTTAATGGTTTGGAATGGCATTATACTGTTTTTACAGGCATAGTGACAAAGAGCTTCATAATTTAGCCACATCAACTAAATATGATAAAAATATTACTCATTATTTCATATCATATCATGAAAGCATTTTAAATTTTATCTATCAGGATGATGCACAATAGATAAATGAGTGCTTCTTGAACAAAACCACCTGCAACCAGAATCTTTGATCTTAGTTGTACCTTTTCTATGTGATTTTCAATTGTGTGCAAGCTTTTTTTAACACCAGATGATCCCCCTGTCATTATAACGTTGCGCGCCTCTAACTAGCACGCAACCAAGAGGTGACTGTGAAAGCTTGTATAAACCACACAGAGTCTTATAAAGGGTTTAAGTCCCTTTTTATTCAACGTACTAATTTACAATTGCGTTCTCTTGACGCTTACAAACGGTGCCAACTCGGCAGTCAAAATAAAAATAAAAACCTGAAAAGAAATTAAAGACAATATTCTAACTACGAGGCTCTCTCAAATAACTAACTCACCGCGTTTTACAATACGGCTGCTAATTCAGCAGACTTGAAGCTCACTGGAACAATTGCAACTACTTCCCGCCAAGCACATAGGCCGCAACGCGGGGTTTTTCAAATCTCTATAACTACCTCCGCGCTCGCTAAGTAAGAATAACTCTCTCTCACCGAACTTGTTTCCTTCTATTTAAATCATACTACTTCCGCTGATAATTTGAATGCTTGCGCGTTCTACTCAAATTTACATATTCTGGCATTGGCAGTTCCAGGGGAAAGTAAGGATTGACAGGAAAGATAGTTTAAACTTAAAATAAATATAAATAAACTGCGTAATTACAGAGGCATCAATTCAAGCAGGTCCTACATCTTGGAAGTCTTAATTGCAACCCCACTGTTACCAAAATAATATGATGACAAAATCTTCCTATACAAACGAATATAATAATTTTACGTTATTAAAATAGTGGCAATGCTGCTTAGCATTTTTAATCAAATTTCAGTATTGTTGTATAACACTGATAATAGTAGCACTGCTCGAACATTACCTAATATTTGATTTTTGTGCATGTTAATGTACTTTCACTAGCCATTCATGTCAGATGAGCTGATTATGAAGTCATTTGGCTAAAATACTACCTACATTTTGAAACACCTGCATTCAGCCCCTTCCCCCCCAAAAAAAATCAGTGTAATGCACACACACACAAAGATTAATAGCAAACAGAAAAGGAAATATATCCATAAATATTCTGCCACTCATATGGCCATTTCAAAGAAGATAAATTTCAAAGAAGATAAATTCCAATGAAGATAAATGTTACCACAAAGCGTTGGTAACACATTGCAGCTAATGAATTCAGAATACTGCAGTTTCCACACAAATGACTGTGCCCACATAAACTGTTGCCAACTGCCATTTATAGCTTAGTTACCAAACGCTAACAAGAAATTGCCAGTTCACCATAAACTGACAATTAGCCCATTAATTTAAAAATAGCTTTTAATGAAACTACTATTATCACTTTATTATACTGATCAGGTAGTACAGCAACTTGAATAAGAAAATTCAGATAAAGAACAAAACAAAATATTTCAGAAAATACTTTTACTTACATAATTCTGCCTTGCAGTCAAGAGTAATCTAATTATTCTTTCTTGACCTTTCACTATAAAGTATCCACCAGGATCCTTTATTAAATGTAATTGCGGATATGAGTTAAAAAAAGATATAAAAATGAAGAATAGATACAAAAATACAGAATATGCACACAAAACAAAAGAATAAATACAGTACAAAGTCCGTAATCCGGACCCGTCGGGACTTCGGCGATTCTGGATTACGGGTTTTTCACTATAGATCATCAATTTAAATCTGGTAAGATGGCATGCAGAAATTATACAATTAAAAATATGAAACTGTAATTTATGAAATAAAGAACAATTATGATCTAAAGGGTATCAAAATTTACAAAAAAAAAAAAGCTTAATATTTATTTGTTTACTTTATTAAATTTTTAAAGTTGCTTTGTTTTTTGTGCTAAACGCGTATGTGTAAACATTAAACGAGCATGCGTAACATTAAACACGCATGCGTAAAGCATACAAAAAAAAAGTTTGTCCGAATTATAGATCATTCCGGATAATGGACGTACGGATTACAGACTTTGTACTGTATAAAAATACATTTCATAAAACTTGAAATGTAAAAAAATAAATAAAATTACACTCATTACAAAATTATTTATGATTAAAATAATGATACTGTGTTTTTAAAAACTGTTGACAATTTCTTTGAATTTCTGTTCTCTTTGCTAAATTCCTTATTGAAGAATGAATAATATTTACTTGAGCTCTCGGTTCATGTAGACACTACTTAGACAATAAAATCTCTACATATAAGAAAAGAAAGAGTCTGTCTGTGTGTGTCTTTCGTTCGTGCTGCACATAAGCTAATAGACCCAAGGCTGCAAAATTTGGTATATAGGTGCATCTAGACAAGAGCCAGTGCACTTCGAAGCAATTTTTTAAAAATTAGAATCAGATTTTTTTAAATATTATTTTATCTTTTTTGATGAAATCGCTTCATTTTGAATATTTTAATTCTTTTAGAAATGTGGTTTTGGCAACAATTTTTCATTCAATGCTTTGTATACTGGACTGCTGACTGTTGAAAATATGAGATAATATGCTGCTTACTTTCTTTTGATTTTTTGGACATGCAACAAGCACATTGCAATCTTCTTATTCTGAAGCGTATATGTCTTTCGAGGCACAACAGAAAGAATTTCCTTTTCCCCCCTTCTCTCTTTATTAGCTAATGGCAAAGAAGTTTGTATATTTTGAATTATGTCATCCACAAAGCACAATTTTGATTGGTTATTGCTTTCTGATGATTTATTCTTTTAGAAATGCACTTTTGGCAAGAGTTTTTCATTCCTTGCTTTGGATATTGGATTGCTGACAGTTTTCGCTTGAACATATGAGATTTATTGCTTATTTCATTGTATTTTTTTATGTTATGTTTTAATTATATATAATTTTAATTATACAAAAAGATTTGCATGTTTTTTTTTTTTTTTTTTTTTTTTTTTTTTTTTTTTTTTTGAAACAAAATTCTTAACTTTCTTTATACCATTTGAATCTTGAGATTTTGCAACAGGAAGTTGGTTTAACTTATTTATTAGAATAATTAATATATAGGATATTAAGAGATATTGCTTATTCGATTGTAATATTTTCAAGTAAAAAATCCTTCTGCCTAAGTTAACTAAGGACTCAAATAAATAACATAGATAACAAAATACATTAGATAAATATTCACAATATACTGGTGCACAAAATGAAATAGTCGTAATAAAGTAAAACAAAAAAATATCCTCGATCTAGCATAACATAAATATTACCACATTATATAACACAAACAAAATTCAATTCTAATATTATATAGCAAATGCTTAGAACTATGTTTACTATAACCTTAGTTCTAGAGCAAAATTTTACATGTGTTTCATTTTAAAATGCTCAGAAGAAATCCAGTTTTAGGTAAAACTATAAAGGTATAAAAATTTTTGACGTTTTATTCATTATGGGGTACCTGGTCGTTTAAAATAAATACAGTTGACTTGACTCTCTCAGCTTATAATTAATTCTACATATATAAAAGGAAGTCTGTCTATGTGTGTGTCTTTCGCTTGTGCTGCACGTAAGCTAACAGACACAGGGCTACAAAATTTGGTACATAGAGTGCATCTAGACAAGAGCTAGTGCACATCGAAGCGATCTTTTTCAAAATTTGGATGAGTTTTTTAATTTTACGTTTTTTGATGAAATCAAATCAAATTGATAATTCTCTGTCATTATATCAGCAACAATGGCGCCATTGTTGCCACTCGGAAAAATGAGGGCAATAATTCTGTGCAGTTTTTAAATTTAATGTTTCTCTTGGATACTGGATGTTTGTCGAGAGAAGGCAATGGGAAGTTGGTTAATTTATTTATTAGGATAATTAATATTTGTATTAAGGGGTATTGCTTATTTCATTGTAATTTTTTTATATGTAATATATTTTTATTGACTTTCTTTTTTCAATTTAATGTTTGGTGTTTCCTTTAGGCAATTTTCCGGTACATTTAAAGCCAGACAAAGGCTGGCTGCGTAGTGGCTACATTGATATTATAAGTACATGATATGTAGAGAATGCTTTATTATGTTTGTTATGCTTTATTATGTAATGCTTGTTTTCCAGTACATTATATGTAAAGGATGCTTTATTATGTATGCTCTTATTATTATATGTAGATAGGACGTTTGTCGAGAGGCACTTAAATTGTCGAGAGAATGCTTGTTTTTCGGTACATTTAAAAGCCAGACGAAGGCTCGTCGCATATCGGCTAGTACATAACAGATCAAAAATAAATCGCTCATTACATTAGTTCATATTTAAAAAAATATATTATTGGCTATTATATAAAACTGATTCTATTATTCAATAAAAATATTTGACATAAAACTGATTTGGTAAAAAAATTATTATTGGATATTACATAAAACCGATTTCGTTATGCACATAATAAAAATATTTGTCATATATATAACAAAAAATTTTCATATTGCAACATACATTCTCTTAAAAATGAATGCATATCTAAACACATTTAACTGAGTTCAAAGTACCTTATAACATGAAAATTTTTTTAAATATAATGGCACAAAATGAAAAGCATAAGCTTAAAAGATGGTTATCAAAGAATTATATAACATGGGTGATAAACAGTCTAGACAGTCTCAAGCAGTGGCGGCTCGTAATAAGCACTGTGAAACAGCAGCACCCTTATTTCCACTTATTATTATTTTTAATATTTAATATGCCAGTAGCATCTCCCAGTTTGTGAAAAAGCTACAAAAGTCTTTGTATGGAACTGAGCACTTCACAGTTCCAGCAGCGTGGTATTTGGCTGTTCTGCGTATGCGCACACAGAAAGTAGCATGCGAGCCAGGGAGAAAGAAGAGCTCTGTCGCCCTTGCAAAGCCAAAATTCTGGCCTGTTGTTGGAAATATGATTTTTTTTTTTTTTTTTTTTTACTCTGCAAGCATGGTGTTTGGCTGTTCTGTGCATGCGCACGCACTTAGGAAGCAGGGTATGAGGCTGAGAGGAAGAAGAGCACTGTCACTCTTGCAGCCAAATCTGGCATGCTGTTGGGAGGTAGTTCCTTTTTTTACTCTGCGTGTGTTGTGTTTAAAAACCACACACCATATTCTTGGTTAGATTATTTTTCAGCTATTCTATTTGATTCATTTTTTTTTTTTTTGGTTCTTTTATTTTACAGAAAACTTTAACCATGTCCTTGCATTCTCAAGTTATAAATTCTGTGAATCTGTGACTGTAAATGAACTTCAAGAGCTTTTGTTTTCACAGCTGTTTCTCCATGAGAAATTTACAATTAAGAAAAAGAGGTCATTCAACACCTGATATTCTAATGTCAGCCAGGCATAACAACAAGAAATATATTTGTAGTTTCAATTCTGAATGGTAACAACGAAAAAATTTGTTTGCAGTTGTGAAGTAAAAATGCTCTGTTTTGCTTTCCGTTTACTGTTTGGAGGTGATGCAAAGATGATGATGACAAAAGATGGCTTCAGAAATACAAATAAAATGAAAGAAAAAACTTAAAAGCATGAGAAGTCAAAAGAAACACGTTGATAATGTAGTTTCACTGTCACTTTTAGGAATCGTTAATATTAGGTGAAACTTAGTGTGGGATACAGACTTTCAGTCAATGAGCATTACGTAAAGGTTAAGAACTGGGAAATTTTGTGCAAAATAATAGACTGCATTTTCTTTTGTGGAAACTTTGAAACTCCCTTATGTGGACATGATGAAAAAGACAGTTCAGAAATCCTAGCGGATTAGTAAATTTTGCATCTACATTAGATTCAGATTTGAAGAATCACTTAGAAACTTGTGCAGTCTTCAGAGGTGTTTCTAAGACCATTCAGAATGAGATATTTGACTGCCTATTTCAAATATACTATGAGGAGATAAGGACAGAAATTAGAAAAGCTTCTTCTATAACTTTAATGGCTGATGACACAAAAGATGTTACGGAACACACTCAGATGTTCCTTCTTCTACGGTATGTATTGAATGCAGAAATATTTGGGCTTCTGGGAATCCTCTATCCCATAAAAATCAAACTATAGATGGCATATCAAAATGTATTTTAGAACAATTGGACATAATCCTTCAAGGAAATGAACAAAAATTGATAGCTCAGACATTTGATGGTGCAAATGTCATGAAAGGCAAAAAAGTAGGAGTTCAGCAAAAATAAAAGCAGTTTATACTAATGCACATTTCATTCACTGTTATGCACATCAACTTAATTTATTAATGATAAATGCAGCAAGTATTTCACGAAACGTATATATCAGATCAAACTATTGCAGAAGAGACAGGAATTTTAAAATATCTAAATGATGATACACTATCTAAATGATGATACTTTCAAGTTTTGGTTAGAGCACTTTTATCAGATTATGCCTCATGCTGAAATGATATACAACCAAATGCAATCTAGAGAAATAAGTGTGTTTAAAGTTAATGAATATATAACAAATTTTAAAACTGCTATTTTAGAATTAATAAACTCAAAGTACTGTGAGAATTCTTCAAAGACAATGATGGCAGA